GTTTTGGAGGATTTAAGAAGATGAAAAAGATAGGGTTTAATTGGGTTGTCGCGGCAGTTACGAGCACGTACGGTGGCGTTCGGCGGCGGCGGCGTCGGCGGCGGCGGCGGCGGCGTCGGCGGCGGTCAGGGTTGGAGAGGAGAAGAAATGGTGGAGGTTTTTTTTTTTAACAACAAAGGGTTTTTTTCTTTTTTTTTTATTTGGTTTTTGAATAGGTAATTTCTAATAAAATTTGATATAATTGATATTTTGTATGAAAGGGTGTTTTTGTAATTTTCTTTTTATTTTGGTTTTAAAGTAAGAAAAAACTTATAAATATGTACTCAATTATGGTTTTCAACTAGGTAGTATTCAACTAAGCAAAAATTAGTATTCAAAATAGTTGCCCCCATATATTATATTATAGTTGATAAATAAAACTAAATATGGGCTTAGAGGGATGGACCTCCACAAACAAAATAGGACTATTTTTTAATTCTAGTTTTTGGGAGTTTGTGCTTTCAATTTCAATTTCATGAGAAAGTATATAGAAAAATAGTTCAAGTAATGAAAGAAAGTGTAATAAAAGAATGACAAGTGAAGTAGATATGTAGCCAGCCAAGTGGGCACGTTTTCCAGCTTTCTTTAATTCCCGTTCATGTGCATCAATTTATTTTTATTACACAATCTTCACTTCCCCATGATTTATATATATATACTAGCTAGTATATCTTTCCTTTAAATTTCATAATATATATTTTGATCATTTTCAATTGGTGTGTTTTGAGGGATAATTGGGACAATTTTTATGAACACTATAATTATGATGGCGTTGATGCATTCAAGGAAAAATAAAGACAAAAAAAAATAATAACAAAGATATTTTATTTTTTGAGAAGAAAACAAAAAATAAAAAATGGTGTACAGAAGAAAGTAGGTCCCGGTGCAATTTATTTTGAAGGTTGTCCGAGAAGTGCGGCTACTTGCCGCCTCTTTACTTTCCCATCACCTGTTTTTTTTTTTTCTTTTTAAATTCTATATATTTACTGACATTTTGTATTTTTTTAGCATTATTTGGCTTATAAATATTAAATACTAAATTATTTATATTAATTTTGATAAATAATAGATTTGGGATTGGAATTTAGAAACCTTACTTAATTTTGATAATTGTTTTGAAACTTATGCGTTTGTTTCTCAAATCCAAATTAGTGAAATTACACTTATTAAGCTACTAGAAAAGACGTACGGTTCGGATTTATTTATGGGATCAAATTTCAAATTTGTTGCTTGCAATTAAAGATAACTCAGATTAATTAGGTATTAGTCTGTTATCAAATTGAAAATTTAAAAAAAAGATTGTTGGAATTTGATGACCAATATAATAAAAAATAGAGACATGAAATATTTTTTCTATTAATCTTGTAATAAGCTGGTTTGATTATAATTTCATTTAACAAATAAGTCTCTTAATCTAGTCTTAAAAAAAACAGTATAGGACAGCTGGATAAAAATAAGGTTCCACAATATGTTAAACAAACAAAACAGTTGCATAGATTTGACCTCTTTTGATATGTATATTCATTATATTAAAAAAAACAGATTAGATTAATAAATAATAATGATTAAGTAATAATAATAAAGAAATGTAGATGATCTGTTTCCTGCTGAATTCCATCATCCTTGATATATCCCTCTTTTCTTTTATACGTTGCGTGTAGACCTAGCTACCTGTTTTTATACTATCCAAAGCCAGCGACTTCTTCTTCTTCCTTCTCTCTCTCTCTCTCTCTCTCTCTCTCTCTCTCTCTCTCTCTTTCTCTCTCTAGAAAAAAACCATTAATTTTCATTCTGTCTGAATTACTTCTGTCCACCTTTCTGAACAAACTCATCGATCCAACTAAAATAGAATCTTCAATCTTCATCAACAACCTAACGCATATATATACTGCATGCTGTTTACTTTTGTTTCGTGCAAAAACATTATTACTGCCATATTACCGAACCAAAGTCAAATGATCAGACAGCCTTTTTGCTAAGCATGTGCAGTCCCTTAATGGAGAATTACCAAGGTGATTTAGCTGATATATTCCGACCCAGCACCACCACCGCCACCGTAGATGGCGGCGACCCGGATGCAGCCGCAGCCGCCCTCCCCGACTGGCAGTTTCCGACCAATCCAATTACCTATTCCTCCGACCCGGTTGAAGATTTCGGGGATCCGTTTAACTACATGGGAAATCCACTCCTCCCAGCTGTACCGGGATTCTTCTCATGTAATAACTCCAACATCATTGATGGTGGTGGTGGGATTAATAATAGCGGCGCCGGCGGTGTAAATATTTCTCACAGACTACTTGTTCACGATGAGATGAGAAAGCCTTCAAACATATTTTCAAGGATGCTGCAGATCTCTCCTAATGCAAAGTCGCCTGTTGATCATTCGCAAGCGGCGGCGGCGGCGGCTGCATCTCCGACGGCGGGGTTGAGGGTTTCTCCTATTTTAGTGTCCAAAGGTTGCTTGGTGGAGAGCCCTGGTGGTCTGCAGATCTCGTCTCCGCGAAATACGGGCATCAAACGAAGGTGGGCGTCTTTTTATTTAATTTCTTGAAACCATATATAATTAATATCTGATTTTTTTAAATGAAATGATATAGTTAATTAACATGTAATTAATGCTTGTCTGGGAAAGGAGGGTACGTAATTAACTCCATATGATCACGCCCCTAAAATCGGACAGTCACATGCTTCAATTAATTAAGGATCTCTTAAATAATTAGGGTTTTGATACATAATTAGTAAGATTATAGTATTTCTTTTAACCAAAAGCTTATGTTGAAACGCACCACCGTACGTACTCCCATATATACATGCAAATTCGATAAATTAAATTCAGAAATGAATGAATAAATTCTTACAAGTTCTTTTTGTATACTTAATTAGCTTGCTCATGTTAATTAATGATATATTAATTTTAATTAATATCAGAAAGAGTCAGGCGAAGAAAGTGGTGTGTATACCGGCATCATCGCCGGCAAACAGCAGGGCCACCGGAGAAATAGTTCCGTCGGATCTTTGGGCTTGGAGAAAGTACGGACAGAAGCCCATCAAAGGCTCCCCTTATCCTAGGTATATATATACTAAATTTTATTACACTGACAAAATTAACTAACTGTATTATGTACTATTATATTGTGAATTAGTAATTAATTTTGATCGATAAATAACGTACGTGTACGTATTATTATATATAGGGGTTACTATAGATGCAGTAGTTCAAAGGGGTGTTCGGCGAGGAAACAAGTGGAGAGGAGCCGAACAGACCCGAATATGCTGGTAATAACCTACACGTCGGAGCACAACCACCCATGGCCCACCCAGAGAAATGCTCTTGCCGGATCCACCAGATCTCAGCCCTCGTCCAAAACCACCACCACCACCACCACCACCACTACAAAAAAAGACCCAACAAAACAAATTAATAATAATAATAATAATAATACAGTTATTATAACCCAACAATTCACTACAGACGACGTACTGAAAGAGGAGGAGGAGGAGGAGGAGATCACCAATAATCAGGATTTCGATCATCAGCTAGAAATGGATCATAAATTTGAGCTAGGGTTTCAATACAATCCCACATTATTGGAAGATGATCATCACAATTTCTTTGCGGATTTGGGAGAAATTGAAGCCGATGAACCTTTGGAGGATCTCCTCTTCACACCAGGTGAAATTAACGTCAAAGATTTGGATTTTAATCCATTCAGCTTCTACAGCTGGTCGGCAGCAACCACCACCACCGCCGCAACCACTGCCAGCTCGACGACCGCATCTTATGGAGAAGATAACAAGGAATCGTGAATTATATTCATGCATGCATGGCCATATATTAATTGGGGGAAGTTTCCATCGAATTAATTTCTTGGTCTGTTAGTATAATATCGTAATAATTTTCTCTACACATGCAGTTAATATTGTTTTAAACCCTAGCTATTTTTGAATGCCCCTACTTATGATTGATATTATAATTAAATGGAGTGTTTGCGAAAGAGAATATTAATGGGAAAATGGGATTATTAATTAATTAGAAGAAGATTGGTACGTGGATGGGACAGAAAGCTGAAGAACAGAAGATTGCAATAGTTGGAATTTGGAATATATATATCATCAGACATGACTGGAAAGCGATTATACATACATACATACACATACACGTATGTGTGTTTAATTTCGCAGTGGTGGGAATAAATAAATAATGATTCATCAGAAAGAAAAAAAGCATGGCCCCATGTTTTACATCATATCCGGCGGGATTACAGTATATATATATACAGTCAAAACATTTAAACTAAATATAAACCATCCATAATTTCTGATGTTTATGGCTATATATCATTCTTGTAATATTACTATAAATATAATGCGAAAGAGATATATGGAGAATTAATTAATTTGTGGGAGATCAAAAGCATTATTATTATTATTATTATTATTATTATTATTATTAGGGATCTTTCTAGGGTGAGATCCCATGTTCTAAACTTTTATGAGATACCCCATTTATATTGCGCCACGTGTCCCTGCCAAAAAATCCATTTTTTCCTCATTTACGTATTGTCGTAAATACCCTTCGTATAATTAATATTTTCAAAAAATCGGCCATTATATATTATTAATGTAATGTCAATTTTACCCTCTATATTTTTAATGCAATTTTAAATATATATTTATTGCTGAATTAAAATTTATAATGTCAATTATATCATTATTCGTAAAAACCACCCATCCAAAATTGCATCAACCTGAATTCGAACTCGTGACCATCTGAAAACACACAAGAATACTTACCATTAAGACACAACACATAATTGACAATAAACTAACAATACGGATATATATCACAAAGCTACAATTTATAATGGTTATAAAACTTATATAAATAATGTTAAATAAATTATTAATTCTCATATAATTATTATTATTATATATTAAAAATATCCCATACTAACAAATCTTTATATAATATAATTTAAAAATCTAAGGAAATGTTGTTCAACTCGTGTAATTTAAAAATGAGTTTCGAAAGAATTTGAAGTTTGAATTGAATCGTAAGTTGGAAGATTTAATTATATCGTAATATTTGAATCAATTAAACTCATGTGTTTTCAATTCAAAAACAATATTCAAAGATTTGATCGATTAAGCTCAACTCATTTCAATTCGTATACAATATTCAAATATTTGAATCGGTTAAACTCAATAATTTACAATAGCGTATTAATCAATCTGTGTATAATTAAAGTTTAGTAACCTTTTTTTTTTATTGAATTTTATCATAAAAAATAATAAAATTTAATTCGTAAAAATCGTAAGATTTAATCGGTTCATGGTTAGATTAAATCTTACGATTTACGATATGATTTTTACGATTTTACGAATTAAATTATTATTTTGTTGTTAAAATTGAATTAAAAGGATAGTAGACTTTAATTATAAATAGTTAACTCGATTAATACGTTCTTGTCAGTGGTTGAACTTAATCGATTCAAATTTTTGAATAATATTTACAAATTAAAAGGATTTGCGCTTAATTGATTCAAATCATACGCTTTAATTAATCTTATGATTTGATTCTTGCGTAATTTAGGAATTATTTTTTTATGATAAAATTGAATTAAAAATGTATTACACTTTAACTAATAATAGTTAATTTGATTAAGACGTTCTTGTCAATAGTTGAGCGCGCTAATGAATCGATTCAAATATTTGAATAATTTTTACGAATTGAAAGCCCTTGAGCTTAATTGGTTCAAATATTACGCTTTGATAAAATATTATGATTTACGATTAGGTTCTTACATGTGTTAGGAATTAAATTTACTATTTTTTATGACAAAATTGAATTAAAAAGATATTAGACATTACTTATAAATAGTTAAATCAATTATGTAACATGTTATGTCAATAGTTAAGCAACCGATTAAAATATTTGAATAATGTTTACTAATTGAAAGGATTTGTACTTCATCGATTCAAATCTTACTAGTTGATTAAATTAAATATTAAAAGAAATTCACAATATAGTATTTGTAGTATATAATTTTATTTTAAAGTAAGAAAACTACTAATTGGAATGAGTTATAATTTTTTCTTCTTCTAAACAAACATATTATTTTATTTTTTATTTGGATTTGTCACACTATCGATTAAATAACATAAGTGAGTTTGAATTAAGTTATGCATTTTTTTATATTTAATTGAGCATTCTTTACATTTTTAAATGGTGGAGTTTATTAATACTTCTAATATTATATAATTAATGATAGATGTTTGGCGTATTGAACTGCAATTCTTTATATTTTTAAAACTTTATTTTATTAAATTTGTTAATAATTTATTTAATATCATTTAATAATAATGAATGTTGCAATTAATATTTGAATTAACAGTATTTATACAATTATTGTTAAATATATCATAATAAGTTAATGTGCTTGGATGGTTAGGAGTGATAATTGTATTAAGAGGTTACAAGTTCTATTCCTAATGAATGCATTTTTTTCGATTATTTATCAAATAAATCTCGGTCACAATGAATTTAAATTAATTATTTAATTAAAATATAGTAGGGTCTAAATTAGACAATTCAATGTTAATCAATTTTATATTAATTTAATAAAAAAAATAATAGAAGGATAATTTGGTAAAGTACTTCATTTTTTAGAACATAAGCCATGTTATTTTCCTAGGGTTCAGATTTAATCTTAGAAAATTAATGGTGATTAATGCATATCTCATAAAAGTTTAGAACATGGGGTATCTCACCGTAGACAAACCCTATTATTATTATTATTATTATTATTATTAATAATGTGAAAAAGTTAATTTGATGTTTCTCATCAGTCAAGTCAGTGTGTGTATGTATAATGTAAGTAACTATATATGATAGATAGATATATGAAGGAGATCATCCTAATTCCTACCTAGCTAGCTAGCTCTAGAAGCTTTTGGTTACTTCCTCCGAATATTTCTCTTTCCTTTTTTTCCTTTTTCTTTTACATAAAAAAGTTGTAATTTTATTGTTTTGATTTTTATTTTCTTCGAAAAGAAAAATCAACCGTAATTACATAATTACTAATAATAAGTAATCGATGTTTTAGATGTGAGTACATAACTATATATGCATTGTAATTTGCAATTGAAGGCTCCAAATCATTGTTCTGCTTGCTAGAATCATATCGCATGCATTGGATTCATTTAAATTTTGTTGATGATGGTCACTAGATGGTCGGTTTATTCTATATTACACTCAATAATCTAGAATTTTCTACTCATACGTGTATTGTACCTATTATTATACACATATTTAAGGTACAGATGTAATTAAATGAATCATGTAAAATCAATACATGTATTTTATCTGAATTTTTATCGAGCTTTTAAAATAGCATAACGTTTTAGTTTGTTGAGATAAAATTGAAACGAGATTTAATGAAGTGGAATAAATTGAATAAGAGTTAGTATAGACACTTTGGTGCAATTTGAAGAACACTTTATTGTGTATGAATAATTATTTAGGCGAATAGACATTAATAGTGACTTGAAGATGCGTCAAATCCATCAAGTCTGATGAAAAGAATTTATGTGCATAAAAATTAAAGTGTAAAGTTTGTGTGGAAAATAAGTTATTGATTGGGTGAGAAGATGAGATGGGGATTTTGTTATGCGCCATTACTAATTCACTACTACTTACTACTAGTTACTATTATTATTTTATTTTATTTTATTTTATGTTTGTGATGTGAAACAAATATATACATTACTTCAACAAAATATCTTTCAAGCGTTCCCTCCCCTATTTCCCCTTATAATGGACTTGAATTTATTTAAAAAAGAAAAAAAAGAAAAATATATCTTTCAAACTTTTCATTAGTCCGTTTACCATCCTACGCGTGGATTTCCTAAATTATTTTCCACTCGGTTTATTCAACATTTATGTTTAATTTGTAAATATATATTTGAGTTTTGACACTAAACGATGATTTGGATAATGATGAACATAAAAATATAGTTGAATTACTCTAATTGAGAAATTATTTGATTTTCATTATTATTTACTAGAGATCGATCAAATTTCTTGTGATTTGAAATGACAAAAGGGAGCTGGCCCTGAATCTTGCTATCACATCTAAGATCATGCTCCATCCCATTCACCTCTCAAAATATATTGCTTACTCGCCTAATTTTCATATTTTGATGATACCGTTTTAACTTCAAATGTAATTTTGACCGACTCTCATGCTAGGAAGAATAAGGCTCGAATAATATATTGATGGGTTCTTCAGAACTGGCTTCTTGGACCAAGTAATTTAATTGGGCCAAATAATTTAATCAATTGATTTTATTTTTTGAGATCCAAAAATGTGGCATCTTCAACGTCTTGGTCAAAGGCCCAAAATTAATCGTTTAGGGCCCAAAAAGAAAATTAAATAAACCTAGTTAGGACTTCATTTAACTTTTTGGTAACAAACTCACTAACAAATTCCTATTTTAATTCCTATTACCCCGTCGCAACTTGGTCAAACTACAAAACTTAGTCAAATAAATATGCAGTTATTCTCAACTGACCTATCTATAATTTCCTCCGATCCAACACTTCCAAACAAAGTAAAATAAAATATAAAAATATAATTGTATTGTGAATCTGTGATGTATATACTATATGCACATAATTAAACAAATAGAGATAATTTTCCATTACTCCAATGAATTGTATTTTCTATTTTCCTTATTATATTAAATTAAAAAAAATGAAAACGGAGAGTATGGCATTGCTTAATTATTTATATTAATTTGCATCTCTTAATAATAATAATAATAATATATTAAAAGTCTAAAACAAAAAGAAAAAGGAAATGGTGAGAATTGTTTCAGTTGCAATGAATTAAACGCCGGACCAGTGATTTATTCCATTAATTTCAGTTTTACATTTCTATTTATAACGAGTTTAAGAGCACTAAATGAGCAATCAACATAAAAATAAAGTAAAAAATAATAATTTATTAATTTCTCGTAAAGGAGGAATTTACAAGAAAAAGAATTCAACCAAAATAAATAACCTAACACCCTAACAAATATTCTAATTGCAATGATGAATTACAACAAAACAACAATTGATAAATAACCCAAGATTAAGGAATGTAAGAGTACTAACCATCTGTCTTATCTAAATTCTAAACATAAACCAATTAAACAGAAACCTAATTAAAAGACTGTCTCTCCAATAATCCTTATCTATATGTACTATTGTCTGAAGATCTCCGTTATTTTAATTAGTTTGATAAATCAATTATCCTTAATTCATTGATTTCCTTACGAAGCTGAGGTTTTGACTCCAATGTAGTATCATCATCATTGGCTAGTGCTTGCACAAATTTCTCCGGAACCAGACATTTTTCAGCCGAATACAGCTTCTCTTGAATCAATGGAGATGTAATAAGACCATGCAATAATTCAGACTGATCTCCATTTCCCTGAAAAAAAATTAATATTTTTATTTAGATTCCAATTAATACAAACTAAACTAATTCTGAATTCTGGATTAAAATAAATAATATATACCTGATGATTGTATGAGCCCATGGAATCAAGAATTCCAACTTCAGCCTGCAAGAACTTAATATACTTATAAGCAGACTGCAACATTTCAGCGGTGTTCATTTTCTGTCCACCTGGAACCAACTTCCCAAGCTCATGTGTCTTCTCCGTTATCTTCCTCCTCCTCTGCCTGGCCGAGGCACTCTGCGCCGACAAGCTCCCACCACCGCTCGCTGCAGGTGGCGGTTTCGTTACAGTCTCTGCGTAACTTCCACCGCTGTAAACTGGCGGTGCCGCCACAAACTCTGGCAGTACAAATTCCGGCTGGAAATTATGTTGAAGTAAACTAGGGTTAATTAGCTGATCGGAGTGAAGTGGGAAGTTGTAAGTATCGAAGAGCTTTTGGCGTTTAAGGTCTTGAAAGGGGTCGAATTCGACGAGTGGAGTGTGGAGAGTATAATCAGGTAGTGGAGTTAGCAGATTATTATTATTATTATTGTAAGGAAGCTGGTTAGGGATATTATTATTATTATTATTATTATTATTGTAGTTTTGGGAGTAAAGTATGTCATTGGGTTGGAAGAGATGATCGATTTCGTTGGAGTAAGAAGAATCGGGGAATAATTCGTCGAAGCTGTCGTAATCAAAGAACTGATCAGGAAAAAGATTTGTTTCTTGTTGAGCTAAGAAACTAGTATCTGTGTTCATCATTTCAGAAGGTTGAAATGTGTCCCAGTTTGAGTAGTAGCTTAGAGCCGCCATTGATGAAGTTAATAGCCCTACATACCGAAGAAAGATAAAAAAAATGTTTAATTAATTAGCAGATAATAAGATAGTTTATTAAATTAATTAGTAATTAGGAAATGTGAACTGAAATATAGTAGAAAAGGAGGGAAAATTGAAAGGGAAAATAAGGAAGGAAGAGAAAATATAGTAAATACCTGATGAGGAGGAATTAGATTGTGTGAGACAGTGTTGAGTAAGAGTAGACCTCTGTAAATGTAGAAAGTGTAACGTACAACAAACAAACAAACAAACAAACAAACAAACAAACTGCCACAAATAGAGAGAAAGACTGACTAGAGAGAGAAACGAAAGGAAGAGGAGAGGGAATATATTAATCGTGGGAATGGAAGTTATTGGACTTGGTGTGTGTGGGTGGGGGTTTTAAGGTCATAATTAACGGGTAACTAACTCCTAATTATTAGGGTTTCATGGATTAGGGTTTTAATCCCTTGACGGTTGGCTGGCGGCTTCTTATTATTAAAACCCTCAAAACCGTACCCTTGTGTTTTTTGGGTTCTTTTCAGACCCCAGGTATGAATTGGTCAATGAATCCAACATAGTATTTTATCTAAGTTGTTGATGATACTAAATTAATAATAATAATAATACTTCTCTAGCCAATTGCGGCGTAAAGAAAAATAAATGAATAAAAGTTGTACATGTCATTCAAACTAGCTAAAAAATGTTTAGTAAATTAACATGATTTAAATTCGGATCATGTTGCTTAAAATCAATTTTCATTTCAAACAAAAGGTCAATTATATCGTTGATGGGAATCCTTTTATTACATTTAAAAATAAATAATGTAATTGCATTATTTAATTTAATTTTTTTTTTTTTGAAGTATGTTAGAAATGGATATTTAAGTGGCGAAAGCAAAAAATGGGCCTAAAAATGAGATTATTTCAGTCCATTGAATTTGAAGTAAAGCCCAAAAATTGTTGTTGGGTGTTCAGTCTTGACATAGTAGTTATTATAATAAGCAAAAAACAAAATGAAATGTAAAAAACGTGGTGCTTTTATGTAAGTAATATATTAATTCCTTGTGGCAATGATGACATTATCTTGTCACTGATTAAACATGTGTGAATGTTTCCTCTGTATATCCTCTAAATCACCTACCTACCTACTGTATTAATGCTGCTAGATATTTTCCAGCACCATACATTAAAGATATTTATTATGTTGTATTGCCATATAACCATTGCTTTTCTTGTACTATCTCTATACTAGCAAATAAATTGAAGCTGCCTTCCTTGTTCACTATATATACAATTCATGAACCATCATCGTCACTCAAAACCCTCAAATCGAATATTAATAATCTCACCACCAATTATTAAACTCCATACTCCAAAAACCCCTTCATATTCGTCTTCCCTCCAAACTTACATTGGAAACCGCCGTTCCAACGAATCCACCACCCCAAATAATCATTTTGTGTACCTAGTTTTATAGAATTACTTGGTCTCCATATATTACTAATCAAGATCAAATTAACATTGTTCGAAATTCAATGCATTGATTTGTTTGATTGTTGATCAAGTCTTGACAGTGCGTGGGATTAAGAATTTAGCTGGATATAATGTACGTAGATGGAATTTCATGACATTAAAGAAATATATAATATTCCATGTAAAAAACCCCCAAACTGGCCAAAACCCCACCATCTCTCTCTCTCTCTCTCTCTCTCTCTCTCTTGGCATACGCCCCAAAATAACAAAGAGAGAGAGTGAGAGAAACACACACCACACAAAATCTACTGCATTTTGCCCGTTAGGTAGGTACCGATTATATGTTTTTTGTCTGTATATCTATATATATCATCTTTTTCAATAAGAATAATAAATCAAAATAATAAAAAATGAAAACTTCAGGTTTTGCAATGTTTTCAGTGTTATCAAGCATGCTTGTAGTAGTAGTAGTAGTAGTAGTTTCCGTGACGTCATCATATTCAGCTGAAGATGGTTTCATTCAATGCCTCGAAAATAACTCAAAACTCTTCAATGGAGTAGTCTTCTTACTCCATACTCCAAAAACTCCTTCATTTTCATCTTCTCTCCAAACCTACATTCGAAACCTCCGCTTCAACGAATCCACCACCGGAAAACCAAGATTCATCCTCACTCCAACCCACGTCTCACACATTCCGACAGCCATTATCTGCGCTAAATCACACGGCCTGCAAATCAAAGTCCGAAGTGGGGGCCACGATTTCGAAGGCCTCTCTTACGTCTCCGATTCTCCAAACTTTTTCATTCTCGACATGTTCAATCTCCGCTCAGTCAACGTCACCCTAGAGGACGATTCCGCCTGGGTTGAAGCCGGAGCCACTCTCGGACAAGTCTTCTACGGAATTGCCGGAAAAAGTAACACCCGCGCATTCCCCGCCGGAGTTTGCCCCACCGTCGGCGTCGGCGGCCACGTCAGCGGCGGCGGCTATGGTAACCTCATGAGAAAGTACGGACTTACGGTTGATAATGTCGTCGACGCAAAGATAGTTGATGTTAAGGGAAGAATCCTCGACAGAAAATCAATGGGGGAGGATCTTTTCTGGGCTATCACCGGTGGCGGCGGATCCAGCTTCGGAGTTGTACTTTCTTACAAAATTAAACTGGTTCGTGTCCCAAATAGAGTTACAGTTTTCAGTGTCTTTCGAACGTACGATGAAAATTTTACTCACCTTATTTATCGTTACCAAAAAGTCGCCGCCGATGAGTTGCCGGAGAAACTGTTCATCAGACTAATTCTCGACGTTGCTAATGGTAAAAACAGGGCAAGATTCGTAGCCTTATTTCTCGGAAACTCGGAAAATCTTCTATCTTTGATGAATCGTAGATTTCCAGAGCTGGGATTAAAGCAAAAGGATTGCATTAAGATGAGATGGATTGAATCAGTTCTTTTCTGGGCTGATTTTCCGACAGGAACACCAATTACTGCTCTTGTGAGTAGGGTTCCTCAGGTACTCGTCCATTTCAAGAGAAAATCCGATTATTTAAAAAAACCCATTCCGAAATCAGGATTAGAGTTCATATTCAAGAAAATGGTGGAATTGAAAACTCCGCTGCTGACATTCAACCCCTACGGCGGGAGAATGGCGGAGATTCCCCCGGAGGCGAAACCCTTTCCGCACAGAGGGGGCAACATTGCGAAGATTCAGTACGCGGCGAATTGGGACGAAAAGGGAATTGAGGCTGCGAATTATTACATAAATCTGACGAGAATGCTGTATGAATATATGACTCCGTATGTGTCGGTGAATCCAAGAGAAGCTTTTCTCTGTTACAGGGATCTTGATATTGGAACTAATCGGAATGCCGCCGGCAACGGTACTTACTACTCGGAGGATGCGGCGGCGGTTTATGGGGTGAAGTACTTTATGGATAATTTCAAGAGGTTGGTCAAAATTAAGACAAAGGTCGACCCCCACAATTTCTTTAGGGATGAACAGAGTATTCCTGTCAGCCAGGAAGACGAAATAATAATTTAATTATCAAAATGTAACTCATGTCTCTACTTAACAATATATAATTAGGACTTTGCTAAATAGCCAGAATCTGGCTGGCCAAAATAGCATTTATTTTACTTTTTTTGTTTTCTTTATATATTTAATGGAGTACCATTTATGCCCTTAATTGTTTTGTTTCTAAAATTTCTTCCTAATTTCTCTCCCTATTTTCCCTCCTAAAAAATAGAACCACTCAATTGTACATTTTTTAGTTTTTACACGGTAATAATGAATACATTATATTACGAGTTTCAATAATAATAATAATAATAATAATAATAATAATAATAATAATAATAATAATAATAATAATAATAATAATAATAATAATAATAATAATAATAATAATAATAATATTAATCTTATATATAAAAGAAAGAAACGCTGAGAAAACTCTAATAATATTTCTATAATTATTTATTTTTAATATTTTTTTTCTACTAATTTCTAACTATATTTTTTAACAATTATCAAAATTAAAACTAAACGGTGAAGAATCCTACCTTAATGGTACTTCAGTAGTTATTTATTTTTAATTTTTTTTCTCTAATTTAGATTATAAATCTTAATATGTAAAATTTTAAAAAAAATGTTAAATATAATATTACATTATTAAATTTTACTATTTTAGTGTACTATATTTTCTTATTAAGTATTAAATTGATTATTTTTTACTTTTAAAATAAGATCCCGTGCATCGCACGGGGGAAAAATGCTAGTAATAATAATAACAACAACAAAAAAAGGACGAATTATTATTATTATTATTATTATTATTATTATTATTATTATTATTATTATTATTATTATTATTTATTATTATTATTATTATTATTATTATTTATTATTATTATTATTATTATAATAATTATTATTATTATTATTAATTATTATTATTATTATATAAGTGAGTTGGAAAATTAAAAAAATAAAAAATTCCATCGAACAATCAACAATTCAAAACTAATATAGATTGAATACATTAACTATAAACTTATCTAACAAACTTATGAATACTTTTTGTAACGCATGCACAAATTCTATAATATTTTACTAATCCACTTCTATTAGTATTGAATATTGATTATTTATCAAACTGAGATTTTAGAACTATATATGTAGTTTTAAGTGTAGGTTAAGTATATTTTTAAAAATTCTAAGCATTTTATATATGCAAATTTATTAGTAGACATGTAATTTCACGATGAATCATAAAAAAATATTCCGTAGAAATTCAAAGATACAATATAGTACAATCATATCATATTAAAATACGATTGAGTAAAGTATATAAAGTTATATTATTATTATTATATACTTTTTTGTTTGCAGATTAATGTTATAAATTATTTATGTTATTATTAATTTGTAAATCATGATAAGGATAATATTCTACATTATTAGAATTGTCTACTATAGATATTTTTTTTAATAAAACTATATGAAATTTCTAATTTATGTTAGACATTAAGATTATCATTTAAGTTAGTATTCCAATTAATTAGAAAATAGACAATTTCTTAGAGAATTAATTTTAGAATAAACATTATAGGAATTTAATTCTATTAGAAGTATAATAAATCGGAAAAATTCATATGATCAATTTCTGAACTAATTTAAGTAATTATGTGTCTAATTGATAATTGAAGTAGTTAATTTCATGATTATAATGCCAATTTTGAAATTAGGAATGAAATTAAGCATAATCCGATTTATTTAGCAAATTTGAAATTGAATTAAAGACTTTTGTTTTATATTTATTTTGTAATTTCTCTTTCTCTCTCCATTGAATTAAAGACTTTTGTTTTATATTTATTTTGTAATTTCTCTTTCTCTCTCCACCGTGTCAGTTATCACTCCTTTCAGCTTCTTCACTCTCTCCACCTACACCCACCCACCCACCCACCCACTTCCTCTCTCTCCTCCACCTTCCTACCTGCTTTCTCTCTCTTTTAGTTTTCTCCATATTCTCCATTTTTTTTTCATTACGGCGGCCCACCAGCAGATCCGCCCATTAACGCCTTTCGCCGCCGACATCTGGCCTCCACCGACCTCAACCGATAACACACAGACTGTTTTAGACTAAAACCTGGTTTACAACCGGTTTCCGGGCTCATGGGGTGTTACATGAAATTATAAGGTGCTGCCACATTAATATTCAAAGATAAATAAAGAAAAATTAATGGAAGAAGACATCGAATCTGATAACCATAAACTAAAGAAGAAGATGAAATGAATTGACGTTATTTTATTGAAAGTTGTAATCTGACATTTAATGTTAATACATTGAAATATGGATTCATGGTAATCATATTACACAGAGAGAAACAAAAAAAAAAATTCAAAATTAAATTCAAATGTAAATATTATAACTCAAGGATAGATCAGTAATTGAACATAATATTTTTTTTGTAAAATTACAACACTGCCCTTTCTGGCCAGCCAGATTCTGGCCACGTAGCTTTATTGATATAATTATGTGTACATTATCAGTGCCAATTATTCTTTTTTTATTTTTTTATTTTTTTTAGCATATATTGTTTCAGCATTGCGTAGAATTATGCGTAGATTATGTCTAGTCCGTAAAATACTCGATTTGAAAAATTGGTTTTCGCCTGATTTTTACCTCCACGGTTTGACCTGCCTCAAACTGTTTCATTTGCAATAAATAATTTTTTTAAGATTGTACATGAAAATCGTAAAAGGTTTTGGACCGGTTCCGACTCAGCCACCGAATAATCGGCCGCCTCGAATGACTTTCTAGCACTGATAATAATTACATAGGAGTTGCTACAAATTTCAGGATCATTTTCATTCTTCATGAATTTCTTAAATTTGAGATATTTTTAATAGGTTTTCATATAAAAAACAAAATATTGAATTATGAAGGATAAAATAGTTTTTTTTTTTTTCCCGAAATTATTATTGGGTGATCAATGTGGTCCATAAATTGTTTCCGCATTACTTGTTATGTTGCATCGGATTCTATTTGGGTCTACACCGTTTTATATCGCTTGAAATTGACTACTGGGCAGTTTAATATGACCCATTAATTATGTTTTTGGATAACAAAATTCAATAAAATCAACCAATTTATATTTTTGATGTGACCCACTAACTGTAACTGCGTGTGACTGAAGATGAACCAATGATATTTGTTTTTGGGAAATAGATTAAAACTGGAATAAAACGCTGTTTTTTCTCCAATAAAAGTTATGGTGTGTGTATTGGATGAGTCAAAAGTTGCGTACATCGTATTCGTTTAATACTTAAAAGATTTTGTGGTTTTTGTTTCATCTTCAATCTACTCATTATTTGGTGAGTTTGACCATATTCACCTCATCTCATCCTGGATTTGAAGCCTAATAAATTATAACACCAAGTGTGTGTGAGTGTGACATTCAAATTGTATATAATCATCAGAACGACGTCGGTTTAGCATTCTAAAGTTATTTCCTAAACAAACGTGATTCGAAAATCCTCCATTTCCATTATAGTAATGGTATCTAATAAATCCAAATTAAGCATGACGGATTTTGTCCAATTCTGACGTTACCAATCAATCACCCATAATTCAGTTGAATAAATTAGTCAACCAAGAACCATAAATTGTTCAACGTAAATTTTGACTACAATTTTCTAAATCTTATTCAGTTTTAAAGAATCAACTCCCATTTAATTTCCTCTAATTTCTCTAGTATTTAAATCCCTAATTAAATCCTGTTTCCTTCATCGCAATTAAAAAATGGAGAAAGTACATCTTGTTCTTCTTATTCTCTCCATATTCCTCTATTTTCTGAATGCTACTTGTGCTGCATATTCAATTCATAAAAGCTTCGTCCAGTGTCTTTCCGACAACAAAATCCCCAGCTGCCAAATTTCAAAAATCATCTACACTCCCAAAAACCCTTCCTTCACAACCGTCCTCCAATCCTACATCCGTAACCGCCGCTTCAACGTCTCCACCACCCGAAAACCCTCCATAATCATCACCCCCACGTCGGAAATCCACGTCAGCGCCGCCGTCATCTGCGCCAAGAAACTCAAAACCCAGCTCAAAATCCGCAGCGGCGGCCATGACTACGAGGGCATCTCCTACGTCTCCGACACGAAATTCGTCATCCTCGACATGTTCAATCTCCGCTCGATCAACGTCTCCGTCGAAGATCGAACGGCGTGGGTTGAATCCGGCGCCTTACTCGGCGAACTCTACTACAGAATCACGGAGAACACAAAGCTCCTCGCATTCCCCGCCGGGGTTTGCCCCACCATGGGCATCGGCGGCCACATCAGCGGCGGCGGGTACGGCAACATGATCAGAAAATACGGCCTCTCCGTCGACCACGTCGTCGACGCTAAAATCGTGGACGCCAACGGCAGGGTTCTCGACCGGAAATCCATGGGCGAGGATCTTTTCTGGGCTATACGCGGCGGTGGTGGAGCAAGCTTCGGCGTCGTTCTGGCGTACAAGCTAAACCTAGTCCCGGTTCCGGAAGATGTAACGGTTTTCACCGTCGAAAAAGAAGCCAGCCAAAACGCGACCGACGCAGTTTTCCAGTACCAACAAATCGTCGACAAAATGGACAAAGATCTCTTCATTAGGGTTCTCTTACAACCTGTTACATTAAACAAAACAAGAAGCGTCCGCGCCACTTTCATCGGAATGTTCCTAGGTAACACCGACAGGCTTTTATCCATAACAGGCTCCCTTTTCCCTGAATTAGGGTTGCAGAAATCCGATTGTCGCGAAATGAACTGGATTTATTCAGTTATTTACTGGGCTAATTTCGTCAACACCTCAGCGCCAGAAGTTTTACTCAACAGAACTCCCGATTCAGTCAACTTCCTCAAACGGAAATCAGATTACGTACAAACCCCGATTTCAAAACCAGGCCTGGAAAAACTGTTCGACAAAATGGTGGAAATCGGAAAAGTTGGCCTGGTTTTCAATTCATACGGCGGCGTAATGAGTGAAATCGATGAATCTGCGACGCCGTTCCCACACCGAGCTGGGAATCTTTTCAAGATCCAATATTCCGTGAACTGGAAGGAAGAAGGGGAAGAAGCTGACAAGGATTACGTGGCACAGATTAGAGAGCTCTACAGTTTTATGGAGCCTTACGTTTCGAAGAACCCTAGACAAGCGTTTCTGAATTATCGGGATTTGGACATCGGCATTAACGACAACTCAAACAACAGCTACGAACAAGGGAAGATCTACGGTGAGAAATATTTCAAGGGTAATTTTGACAGATTGGTGAAGATCAAAACTAGGGTTGATCCAGATAATGTATTTAGGGACGAACAAAGCATTCCTATACTGCCATCTGGACGAAGAATGCATGAAATAT